TGGTCACGTTCACAGTGGGCATGGGTGTTCTTGGTGACCCGGCTCCAGGCTATATTTCCAGCCTTTAAACAATCTCCCATCGTTTTTGACAATTCCATTTCCCCTAACCACCACCCCTAACCACCGCCCCCTTCTGTAAACACAGCTCTGCGGAGCTAAATGTGCCCACGGCCGGACACGGTCGTGTCTTCTGACTCCGGGCAGGGGGAGGGAGAGCGTCCCGGAGCAAGGAAAACCCAGTCCACGTCGTGCTGTGGGAGGATCAGACACGCGTGACGAACCCTTCTGGAGTCCGTTATTTTCAGTGCCCCCACTGGCATCACGAACATGAATGGCGTGGTGCCTCCGCCCAGCGGCCTCCCACCAAGAGGTGGGAGCCGAGCGCCTTGTATTCTGGAGGTTCAGGAAGCCTGAGTTTAGGGCGAGGAACACCCTGCCCCTCCTCTCCGAGCTGAGTTACAAGTTTGCAGGGACCGTCCCCCTCTTGAGGAGGCCCCTGGGGGTCCAACCTACCGACGGTTTGGAAAAGGTCTGTATTTTTTGTGTGATTCAGTGCTAGGAGGTCCGCCTGCCTCCAGATGAAAGAAATTTTCACCAGGGCCACTTCCTTAGTAATTAAAATGACTGTTTCTTCACGCACCTTATATTGTAGTCGTATTTTCTAACTGGTTCGGAACTGAAGTAAGGAAAATGGTCAGTAATAGTATCTCCCTCCAGCCCCGTATTTCTTATCCACATTGCATAAATATTAAGGTTCGCAAATACTTTCTTTTATAATGTGTCATATGTTCTGATGTCCTGTTCCGATTAGTTTCTTGCTGCTGGGCCGCACCTGTTGACTGGTCCCCTTCACCCGTGACTTCTCTGCAGCAGGCGATGCTGTCTGACCGCGTTTCAGCCACAGAACTGCTTCCAAACCCACCGCTGTTGATCAACCAAGTCTGAGCCGTATTCTAAGTTCCTCGTTGTCATTTCAACAATCTCAGCACCTTTACCAGGAGTAGATTCAATCTCAAAAAAACACCCCACTTTCTTTGCTTATGTATAAGAAGCGATTAAAGTTCTCTCACGAGACTGCAGCTGTTCAGTCTCACCTCCGGGCTCCATCCTCCTTCCAATTCTCCTGCTACGTCCACCGCATACGTCCTCAGTCACTTCCTCCATTGACCCCTCGAATCCACCCGTGAGGGTGGGAAGCAGCTTCTTTCAAACTCCTGTTAATTAATTTTGACGCTTTGACTTCTTCCCATGAGTCACTAATGTTCTTAATGGCATCTAGAACGGTGAATCATTTCCAGAAGGTTTTCAGTTTAGTTTGCCCAGATCCATCAGCGGAAGCACTAGCTGTGGCAGTGATAGCCTTGGGAAATGTATTTCTTAGGACTTGAAAGGCACTTATTATTAATTAGTCAGGCCACAGTGTGTTTCCAACATGAAGTGTGTGGAGTGTAAGGTCCTCATGTTTATATCCTGGTGGAAACCTTCCAATATTACAAAATTTACCTGGTGTTTTAGTCCATCATAAATACAGTCGAATTACAGGGGGAAAGTTTGGAAGAGAAATTTTGTTTGCCTCCAAACCTGACATGTTTTCTATTTTATTTAAAGCTGGGAACAGAAATAACTGGTTAGACATATGATTTTACTTGTATGTGAAATATAAAGAACAAAATAAAATAAAAGCAGACACACGGATAAGGAGAACAGACTGGGAGCTGTCGGAGGGCGGGGTTGGGGGGCCGGGAGAGAAAGGCGAAGGGACAGAGAAGTACAGGTTGGTGGTTAGAGGATGGTCACGGGGACGTGGAGGACAGCGGGGGCACACAGGCGGTGTCGTGATAGCTGTGGGGGGGTGTGGGGGGCCGGCTGGGAGATTGAAGCCCGGGGGAGGGGCCCCTCTGTACAGAATGTGAGTTTCTAACCACTTGGTTGTGCATCTGAAACAAATGCAGAATAACATTGAATGTAAACTGTAACTGAAAAATAAAATAATAACTGGCAAGAATTTTTATAACGATGTAAGCAAGTCATCTTTGTCCTTATATACGCCTAATTTGCCGCAGTGATTGCTTCTAATTTATGTTTTCTTGCAAACAGGATGTCGGGATGTTTCACTGACATCCGTGTGTTCTCGAGTGCTGACCCTGCGCCCTTCTGAGGCCATTTCTGTCTCCGCGGGGCACTACCTGGGTCTCTTCCGAAACACATTAGGTTGTTTACATTGTTGGTTGTCTTAAAATGCTACATTTTCCAATTACCTCCTAAAATCCAGAGTTTGCTTTTGTTTACAGTCATTAAATATACTTTAGCACTTTTATTTTTCAGTAAATAATAAGGCCCTTCTTTTGTTATGTTTGCCAAGTTTTACTACATGCCTTAACAAACTTAAAAGAACTAAAATATTGAGTGTAAATGAATCCACTTGTAGTTTCTTTTCTTGTTGCAAGAAATATAAAACTCAGAAGACTCTAGGAATCATGCGATGACCAAAGAAATGAACACATGGGAGGAGAGTGAGGGGGTCGCAGTGGGAGAGCGATCTAAACACGCAGGGACAGGGAGTGTCCAGCGTCTCTCGGGAACACCACGCTTCCCCTTTCCTTTCGACGCAACACATCACGTTGATCAAGTTTCTGCAGAGGCAGCAGACCCGGGCACTGCAGGCCCACGGCGGCAGGTGGATCCTGCTTTCACTGCTTTTTACACACACTCTAAAAACTCTCTGATCAAACTGTGTTCTGTTTAGGATTCGCCATATGCTTTTATACGGGAGCAGAAACAAAAGTACTGAAGAAAGATGGGAAGGTTGTTCAAACGTAGACACTAGGGTCAGCTGGCCCCGGCAGCGGTGTGACTTGGAATTGACTGCTGATCTGTGATCCCTCCTCGAACTCACTTGGTGGGTGGTGGAGCGGGAGGGTGTGAAGTCTTAGAGACTGCAAGCAGGGGCTGTCGTCTCTGCACTGCTAGGTGACAGCAGGCAAACACAATCAATTTTCTCCTTATGGCTGTCCCCAAACATCACAGGGGCATGAAGGCTACGAAGCTGATCCCCAAATCTATTGATCAGCATTTGCCTCTGTCTCTTTCTACGCGTGGCAAGATTTGCATCTTTAAAAGAGAAGAGGAGGACCGTCAGGGGGATGTTGGAGCCTTACCTTCTACAATCAGAATCAGTGCTCCCTCTGGGGGCCATGTGGCTGCTGCAGAATTATGGCCCAGGTGAAGTTCCCACTGCAGCTACTTCCCTGTTTCTCTCTCAGAAATCCGCAACCTTACATCTGTTACAGAAAATCTGATCTACACCCACAGAGAGAGGAATATTATTCAGTCATTAAAAAGAATGAGATCTATTTGTAACAATATGGAGGAAACTCGAGAGAATTATACAGAGTGAAATAAGTCAGACAGAGAAAGACAAATACTGTATGATCCACTTACATGTGGAATCTTTAAAAAAAACAAGCTCAGAGACATTAAGAACAAAGTACCGGCTGGGGGGATGGGTGAAGGGGTTCAAGGGTAAAAACGTCCAGTTATAAAATAAACAAGTCATGAGGATGGGTGTCCCGTAGAGAAAAAAATCTCACGTCTTATTCTAAAGATTAACTACACTCCCCCTCATTCTAATGCCCACCTGTTTCCAGTGGTTCCTAAAAAGAGCCCTGCAGACACTGTGAGAGGGATGCTTATTTTCTTAAACACAGATGCTTAGATTTGTAATAAAATTTACAGGACAGAAGTCTTCTTTCCCTCGCTATAGGAGAACTCCTGACTCATTCTCAAGGGCTGGCCCTGACCTTTCTGACCCCCCGCCCCGCCCCCCCTTGCTTTAGCTCCAGGGCTTGGAACATGGCAAGGATGGAAAATGTTAAACTGAATAAACGTGGCTCATAATCAGCAGCCGGGTGCCCTGGTTTCACCCCAGCAAACCACTGAACCTGAGAAATGCCCAGCAAACGTGTCGCTCTTCCCAGCTGGACTTCACGGCGCCCAGTGCAGGGAACTTATCTTTCTCAACAACCTGCTAACTCCCCGTAGGAACTTAAATGGACATCAGTATTGCAGAGTACTGCGTGAAGGGGGAAAAATATATGAGAAGTCTAAATGCTGTAACAGGATTGGGCTGCTGGAGACGCAAATACAAACGCCAGCGATCTTCAACCTTCTTCATCTCGTGGCACTCGTAAACTAACTACTAAAATTCTGTGATGCACCAGGACATATGTTATACTTTTTGCCAATATGACAGAAAATTTTAAATATAGGTATAATTTTCATTCATTCACACCGTTCAGCTATTGCTGTGTTGGCTGTCGTCATTTTTTTTTTTCTGACAATCGAAGGAAAAAGAGGACAGTGACTAAATAGTCAGGTGTTGCATGTTTTAAAAATTCTTGCGAGTCCCTGACCAGGCCGCTCAGTGGGTGAGAGTACAGTCCGATGGCACCGTGGGTTCCATCCCCGGTCAGGGCACATACAAGAAGCAACCAATGCGTGCATAAGTAAGCGGAAGGAGTCGATGCTTCCCTCTATCTAAAAAAAATCAGTAAATAAATATTCTTGCAACACAGCAGTTGAAATTCGCTACTAATACAAAAGTGGGGGGTCTACTCCAGTTCCTGGAGCTTTTCGGGCCCAGGTTGTCTAGCAACCTCGAGAGCGTCGCAGCCCCGCCCTCATCACGCCCCTGACCACGCCCCTAGCCACGCCTCTGCTCTCCACCCACACTGGTGCACAAAGACTTCCGCCCCAAACGGCCAGCTGAGTCCTACAGTCCTACACTCCACGTTTGTGGTGCCTGACAGAAATAAGACAACACATAACTGCTTTTAGAAACATCCTCATTCCATACAATCCATATGTCTTTCTCAGAAATGTAAATGCAAAACCAGTGGGTATTTGTAACTCCCAGTCTCCGCCTAGACGAGCATCCGAGGCCGATTCCCAGGCAGTGCCTTGGACAGCAGCAACTTTGGAGGCCCCCAGCGTGAAGGGAAACGTGGACTGCTACGAAGGCACTTCCGGCTCCGCGGCGGAAGCGGAAGTGCGGCCCCTCAGGAAAGTGGAGGATCTGCCCAGACCGGTTCCACCATGTAAGTGCTGACCTGCAGCTGGGTTGGTGGTCGATCCCACTGCTGACCTTAACTCTCTCCCGCTCTCTTCCTCAGGTCCAAGGTTTCCTTTAAGATCACGCTGACGTCCGACCCGCGGCTGCCATACAAAGTGTGAGTATCTCGACCGCGGGGATCTGAGCAGGGCCGGCCGGGTGGAGCCTGGCGCCTCGGGCAACTGCCACCCCGGCAGTCTGCATCCTTCCCCACGCTTCTGGGAGCCTCCCGGGCCCACCCGGACCCGAGCGCAGATCCCGGCTGGGCGCGGGGGTTCGGGGCGCTGGGCGCGGGACCTCCCCTCCGGGGCTGACTTGCTGGAGTGGCGGCGGGTGGGGGGTGGGACGAGCGGACAGTGAACCGTGCTCTGAGAAAGATTATTGGGATCCTTTAACAGCCCCTGTCCGCGAGGGATTAGAAAGGCCTTTCCCCGCTGAACAGCTGTTGGAGGTAGCAAGAGGAGACGTCCCCGTCCAGGGTCTCAAATTACTCAGACATTTATTACTGTTGGGCGTTTAATGCTTGCCGTGTGTGAGAACTTAGCTTTACACCGTATCCAGAAAGGAGTGATCGCAGAAATAGGGCCCTTTATCCGTGCAGGGCCTTTTTTATCCTTGACCCGGAGCACAGGTCTAACCTGGACCTTCTAACCTGGATACTCCACCTGGACCTTTACATGATTATAGGTGAACAGGATCGAGGCCATGGCAGCTGGACGGCATGTACTGTGTAGCCGAGGTCGGATATGCAGTAGGATTTTGTGCCTGATAAATAATGAGGAGTTGATAAGTAGTACCGCGGCCCCCCTAATCGGACAGCTGTTGTTGGCTCCGTGACCCCGGCAGCCTCCTCGACTTTCCCAGTCTTGATCCGTTTGTCTCCACTCGAATCGCTCCTCCTATAACATGTCATTTTCACACACTCCCTCATGGATAACCACGTTCTCTTCTTACAGCTGATTTACTCCAATATTTCTTCTTTGAAAATGTCTCTTCGTATTCAATGATGATTGGCTTCTAAACTTTCCCCCTCCCCCATGCCTTACCCAGAATCTTTCCTTTTTACCCAGCTTAGGGGTTTTGGTCCATCTGGGAGTCAGTCTCCTGCAAAGCCCCGCAACTCTGGAATCTCGCCCTGCCCCTGCACCCCTGGGTTCTCCGCACAGACCTGAATGCTCCTGGAGAGGATGATGGGTTTTACACAAACCCAATGACTGTGCTCAGTAGTGGCCATCAGTCTGCTGCATTTCCCAAATTTGCTTCTCTTCCTCTTTATTCTCTGAAAAGATTTTTTAAAATTTGTCTTCACACTTCCTACAGTTCTTTTCCCCGTGTCTTTCAAGCCACCAGGGAAAATGTCTCTCATCCTCCCATCACATCTGTAAAGCCGCCCCATCTCTGTAAACCTGAGATTTCTGTCTCCGGTCTCGTTGGAGTGGACGATGGCTGGACTCAATGAAAGCGAGTTGCACTACTTTTCTGATCGGATCTGCCTCCGTCTTTTGACTGGGGCTGTGGGCACCATCTCCGCGAACAGGCCAGTTGCTTTTTTTAGTTTTAGAGTTAGTGACTGGCACGTGCAGTCAGAATACACAACGTTCAGACCAGGAGATGGATTTTTGTGGGTCTGCTACAGAAGCTGTTATGGGGGACAAAAGAGCTTTAAAAAAATCACCTTTTTAAAACATTCTTTTTACTTCCTGCAGACTTAGTGTTCCTGAAAGTACACCTTTCACAGCCGTCTTGAAGTTTGCAGCAGAAGAAGTAAGTGGGAATGGGAACCACGGGTTTGGAATGCAGTTGGGTGGCATGTCCCTCACTTTTGACTCTGCAGTCGCTTTGGACCCACCACACCCGTGTGGCTTATTACTGGGTTAAGGCTTCCACTAAGTTAGCTCTGCCCTGTGGCGGAGCAGCTCAGTTGGTCAGAGTGTCCTCCCAGTACACCAGGGTCATGGGTTTGATCCCCCCATCAGGGTGCACACAGGAAGCAACCAGTGAGTGCATGACCGGGTAGAACCAGTCAATGTCTGTCTGTCTGTCTCTCTCTCCCTCCCTCCCCCTCCCTCCCCCTCTCTCCCCCTCTTTCCCCCCGTCCTCCCTCCCTCCCCCTTCCTCTGTCTCTCTAAAACCAATAATTTTTTTTTTTTAAGTTAAGCTTATGCCCTGGCTGGTGTAGCTCAGTGGATTGAGCATGGGCCTGCGAACTAGACGATCACGGTTCAATTCCCACTCAGGTCACATGCCTGGGTTGCAGGCCAGTTCCCAGCAGGGGATGGGTGAGAGGCAACCATACATTGATATTTCTCTCCCTCTCTCCTTCCTTTCCCCTCTAAAAAATAAATAAATAAAATCTTGGGGAAAAACCCTCCTCTTTAAAAAAAAAGTTAAGCTTATATACAGATACAAGTAGAATGAAATTAAGATTTACATAAGAATGAGTTCAACAAATTGACACATTCACTGAAACCATTGAAAATTAAAGGAAATTCTTACTGAACTTGAGAAGGTTTGGTGATAATGTAAACTTTTTAAATAGCAACATGTCACCATAGACTGAATACTCACACTTTTACAACTTTTGATTCTAGAATTACAATATTTTAAATATCTATTACATTTTTCAAATTTTGTGTGAGTATGCACTGTCAGCAAAATTGTTGTTTTTGAAAGTGTCTAGTTATTAAAATATTTTGGTTTTCTGTTTTTAAGAAAAAAACAGTATCCTTAGAAGCATCTATAAAGCACCACTTTGGACCCGACTCTGGGAGTGGTAGCTTGGGTAGAAGCAGCAGCCACACATGACACGGGAGACAGGGTGGCCACTGTAAATGTCATTAACTTTCTGCGTGTCATAGGCTAGCCTCTCAGTTCCTCTGTCCCTCAGATCTCTTGATCTAATTTAAATAGACCTGTGTTTCTATATAATGCAGTTTATTTGTAATAATAAGTGACGTTTGATAATTACCTATGTAACTTAGCAGCTCAGTTACCGTGGGAATAGCTGCTTTTCTGTGCCACGGTTGTTTCATGGTGCTGTTTGTAAGGCAAAGGCACGGGGTCCCCGTCTCTAGCCTGGGGATGGGAACACGGACGTGCAGCTGAACTCGAACTGGCAGGCTTGCACGGCCGCACGTGTCGGTCAGATTCTACTCCAGCGACTGGCTGGTGTGCGTCTCGGCACTGCGCACTGAGGGGCTGTGGCTTCGAGGCCACAGTGGGGAGGCCTTTGACCAGGTGACACCACACAGACTCTCAGGGGACCCAGAGCCGACCTGACCAGCCCACGAGTCTGTGGGTTTAAATCCCTTGCAAAGTTCTCATCATAAAAAGCGATGAACTTTCCCAGCACGTGGCTGGCTAGCTCAGCTGAGTAGTGAGCTGTCGGAGCCCGAGAAGCCGCCTCCCGTCATGGCTGTGCGACACGGCGAATCTGAGGAAGGAAGGGGATGAAGCTGCCGCCGTGAAACGCACTTTGCCTGGAGAGAGTCGTCTGGGGAATTCAGGGCGGGAGGGGCAGCTACTGTTACTGGTGCTTCCTCCCGGTTACAGCTGCACAAAAACCCGGTTGTTTGTTTTTGTAGTGAGTAAAAATAAGGTGCATTTTGCAGTCCTAGACACAATGAAATGTATTTACGGGACAGTGTTTTTTTAAAAAGACAGTGTCACTTTGGGGCCTAATGCTACTAATCCTAAACGATGAGTCTCGTGTTAGAATGATGTGCACACCCTCCCTCTATACAACCCACCCTGGATAGAGTGTGTCTGTGTCTAAAATCTGATTTTTCCCCCCTTTAGTTTAAAGTCCCTGCAGCCACAAGTGCAATTATTACAAACGGTAAGAATTTATTTTAATATTATTTATTACATCAGAACTATAGACATTATGCAAAAAGAAATCAAAGTAGTTAAAATTGGCTTAAATGTAAAAAAGCCTAAAATTTACATCAACATTAAGGACCTAGATAACTGAAAACACGAGGTCAAGATTATTGTCCACAGTTACCTCTCTGAATTCTTCATGCTTTTCGGGACAGCGGAGCATCGTGTACTCTCGTCTGTCCTGCCGCCCAGAGTGTCACTGACAGTCACTTGTATTTACCACAGTGTTTTGAGTGAGCGCTGTTGGTAAATGCTTTTAGAATCACTAAGTTAGGCTGGAATGTGCCTTGGCTGTACCTTGTCTGCTCTCCTCATGAAACCTGTTACCTGCTGGTGGGTGGGAGTGAGGGTTTAGTCCACCCAGACACCGACTCTGACCCCTGAACCGCCTTAAAGTGCGAGGGACGGTGCGGTCAGTGGGCCCGGCTCCTGGAGAAACGCCGCAGCCGGGCAAGGCCCGGTCCCACGTCCAGAGCACCCTCATGGTTCCCGGCACCGGCGGGCCGGCGGCTCCGTACCAGCCGGACAGAATTTCTCCTTCCGGGCTGGGCTGCAGCCGTCACACCAACGTGGGTCCCCACTGGGAGGAGGGCCGGCCTGCTTTCTGGAAGCCTTTAGTTCAGCGGAGCGTTGCCCACGGTTCACAGGTGTCCGCGGAGCTCGCACGCAGTGCCTGTGGGCGCCCTGGGCCTTCGGGGCTATAAGCCCATGACGCCTCTGCATGCACAAAGGGAGGACGGACGCCTCCGTGGGCCTCCCCTGGGGCGGGGGGGGGGGTCGTTGTGCACCCGAAGCAGTGGCGTGTGCCCTCAGGTCCCTCACCTGCACCGCAGGCGACTGGCATTCTCGGCCAGTCCGTTGTTGCCGGGAACCGTGTCAGAGGCGGAATAACCTAGACGGACGGCCTTGTCGTTTACCTTCTAGATGGGATCGGAATCAACCCCGCGCAGACCGCCGGTGAGTGCCCGTGTGGAACCGTGGAGACGGGGGCGGGCGTCTCGTGGACCGGATGGGGCTTCATCGGCAAACAGCGGGTTTTCGGGGCCTTGAGCCACCCTTTCCCCAAACGTCTGAGCAGGAACTCGTGCCGTTACACATAACATGCCACTTTGTGCTCCACGGAGCGGAAACCGGAGTAATGAGCGTTACAGGGAGTGACGCCCCGCAGAGTCCGAAGGGGAGGCTGTGCTCGCGGGGACCCACAGCTCTGCCCTGGCCCGCGGGGCTGTGGGGACGCCCAGGCAGAGTGCCTGCTGGTCAGCTGTCCGGGGCGGTCCCCGCGTGGAAGCCACTACTATTGCAAAGCGACATGATCATCGTGGCCTCCCAGGCACAGCGCAGCCCCAGTCGCCCGAACCCGGGAGGGGCCACGCAGCGAGGTTCCGCTAGAAACCGGGCCCAAGTGCGCAGACTCTGTGATGGGCAGTCTCCTGTCTTTAAACGGACCCTTTTTGGCCTGCATGATCTAATTGTAATCTTTTGAAATTAAGCATGCATTACTAAAAGGTTACCTCGATCTTGAGCGGTATTTAAAGTACTTCTGTCTTAGAGCAAAATTATATTTTCCTTACAAATCATGGGGTTGAAATATTTGAAGAGGAATTTAAAATTTTTAATGTTTTAAGCTTAAATGTTTTAGGTGTATAATTTTAATGAATTGAAAGGGTTATTCATTGAAAATCATGAGGCACTTTGCAACGTAGACGTCTTTTACCTGAGGGTTAAAGGCTTTGTTCTCTGGCTCTAGAAACTTTTGGGTTCGCACCGATTGCAGGTGCTTTGCATCACAGCGGAAGATGCCCACGATGGGACCCGGACTGAACTGGACGGGTCTCTGCCCCTGGGTCTGCTGTGGTAGCGAAGGGTCACGATTTCCTGTGCTTGGGTATTTGGTTGCGCACCGAAGCGAGTGCTGATGATGGAACCGATTCCCGTTGTGATGTGCCGGTGGACCAGTCCGTGTGCTTGCGGCCGGTGTCCCTACTCCGGGTTTGCAGGCGTGGGGCTGGGCTGTGGGGAGGGAAGCAGAGTGGGGGCCACGAAGCCTGGACTCAGCTCCGATGGCGTTTGTGCCGTTGGGCCTGCTTCCTCTCCGCTGCTGTTTATCGTGTGTAGTAACTGCTGGGATCACTCGTTTTCTGCACACCTAACGTGATGCTTTGTCTGTCTGTGTGTATAGGCAACGTTTTTCTAAAGCACGGTTCAGAGCTGCGAATTATTCCTAGAGATCGCGTCGGAAGCTGTTAACTCCCTCCACTCCGAAGATAGGATCGCCTTTCAAAGCGGAGACTGGTATTGTTGCAGAACTGAAATGAGCATTTAAACACTGTGAAAACAGTGACAGTTGATGGCACAATGACAGGTGGCTCTCTGCCCCTCCCGTCACTGCCACTCCTCACGGGGGGAGCGGGGAGCGTGTGCCTGGAGGGCCCGCACCCAAGGTCTTGTCTCTCTCAGGGTCTCGTTCCTTTGGGGCGAAAGGATTTCCCGCCGTTTTTATTTTATTGGAGGATTCTTCCTGTGATTCTCTCTGAGGACACTGGGAAGGTTAAATTTATTGAATCTTTTTATTTGTCTCTAAGTTAAAGTTTTAAAAAGATCATGGATCATACGTGGCAGGTTGCTGGGCAGGATCTGACTTGCAGACTCGGAAATATGTAGTTGAATTCTTAAGTATATACCATGTATGATAAAGGATGTAAACATCAGTGAGTACTTAACTGCCTTCACCGTTTATTATTTAGGTGTTTTTTAAGTTTCAAGCTCCGTGTGTTTGTATAAATGTTAATAGCAGAGCCCACAATTAATCGCGTCCGATCAGCCCCGTGTGTGAACCGATGCCCCACACCAGAGTTTTAGGTCTGATCTTGGAGAGCCCAGTGCTTGTAACGGTCAGAACCGAAATAAAGCGGAAGCGCCCCTCGCTGAGCCGTGCGCTCCGGTGCCAGTGTCTTCCGGGGTCAGCGTCCAGAGCAGGAGTTCTCGGGGGGCGCAGTCTGAGTTGCCTTTGCGAAAGGACCGCGAAGAAAAAGAAGATCCGGCGCTCCCAGCAAAGCTCCCGAAAAGGCCCCTGGGAAAGGCGGATTCACTGGACTCGCGAAGGCCCGAGTTCAGGGAGAAGGGTCACGTGGGGGAGGGGCCGGGGCGGGAGCTGGGGAGCCGCCGAGGGGAGCAGAGCACGGCACGGAGGCCGAGTGCAGGCCTGGGCATCCCGGGGTTTCGAAATTCCCTGAGAACCTCCGGAGGGGTGGGCACGGCGCCCCAGGGTCTGTTCAAACCTCCAGCCGGAAAGGGACGGCCTGCGGTGACCCGGGCCTGGTACTCCGCCCGCTGTGTGGCGGGTGACGAGCCCCCTGGGAAGTGTGTCCTGCTAGCTCCGGACCGGGACGTGCAGCTTTTGGTGAGTCCTTGCTAGTCGCTCGGGGGTAAACCGTCCCTGAGACCAGCGTCACATGGGCAGGTCTCTACCGCCCCGTCGTCCGTCCTCAGTTCGCTGGGGCGAAGGGTTGGGAGACGTGACGCAGTCCGTGGGCGACGTTGGTGTGTGAGCTAAGTGGGAGCAGTTAACCAGGTGCTGTTTGTGTTTGGTAAAGGAGCGCCGGGATCCTGAATCGTAGAGGGAAACAGTCTTTGCCGGGGTAAAAAAATACTTATGACGAGTTTTTATTTTTATAAACAAAATTTGATGCTCAAATCCCCCATGGTCCTTCACAATAGTAACCTCAGTGAGCCAGCAGTGTGTGAGCACCCGTGCCCTGAATATTTGTGTTTAATTTACATGCCCCCCCCCCCCCCCCCCCCCCCAGCACGGAATCCGCCTGCTACGTGAGTAAGTTTATGCTGTCCTGCGCCTTCAAGTAATTTAATATTCTTCTTCTCTGGTTTTGAAAATTTACTGTAGTAAGTTCTTTAAAGCTTTTCCTTAAAGAATTATACGTTCTATTGTCAAATAAATGTGACCTCTGAGTTCTTCGTGTGGCACGTGTTGCAGTGTTTCTTTGAGTGTGTTACTGACACGTGGTATCTTACGGAAGCACATTTTGTTGGGCCATAAACCATAGTTTCTATTCTTCCTGTTAAAACGTTTAATAAGCACACCTGTTAAGCCAGTGCTTAACAAGTGAAGCAAAACGGGAGGGCGAGTGTGCCACTAGTCACGGGTAGTGGCCAGAGGTCCTGGAAGTGAGTGTGTACTTCCAGCGACAGCCGAAGAAGCCACGGCGATTGCCCAGGAAGTCCGTCTGAGCCCAGGTGACGACGGTCAGAGCCACTCAGGGAAGCGGAAGCGCAGACTTCCGGAAACCACCCAGGGCGCCCCCTCGGCAAGTCTGGCGGCGCGTCGGGGTCTCGGTTCCCAGAGCGCAGTCCTGCTGGGCGGCTGCCGCTGAGCGTGGCGAGGCGGCCGTTCCGCTGCACCTCTGGACAGAGCAAGGCCTGCGGAGCCAGAGGGTCCCTGGCGCAGGAGCCTTTCCGTGTAAGGATGCCCCTCCACAGTCTGACGCGCTTCCGGGGGGCGAAGCTCCTTTATGGTGCCACGGGTCCAGCGCTTTTTTGTTTCTTGGCCGTTGCGACTTGGCTGGAGCATCCTCCTGTGAACCAAAAGGTCATGGGTTTGACTCCAGGTCAGGACACGAACTCGGGTGGCAGTTTGGTCCCGGTCTGGGCCTGTTCAAGAGACAACCCATCCATGTCTCTCACGTGGATGTTTCCCATCCTCTTGGTCCTCACCTTCACCTCTCCCTAAAATCAGTAAGCATGCCCCTGGCTAAGAGTAAATTAAAAAGAAAAAAACTGGTTATATGAAAAAGCCAGCGAGAAGAAGCTCGGGCCTGTTGGGCTGCCCTCCCCAAATTAAGGAACTAAACGTGCCCACGGGTCTCAGGAGCATTCACATACTTCAGCGGAGCAGTTCTAAGTTAGCTGATTGCTTATCGTTCCCAAATCTATTTGTAAAACAAGATTACACGCATAAGTTACACATGCACATGTGTGGTTTGTATGTGACCCATGCATGTAATTCATAAGTATATGAACTGCATATGTCATTCAAATGTACCAAACATCTGCGTGTGTAGCCTTTTCATACTTTAACTTATTCACAGTTTTGCCAGAAGAAAGAGGTTCACAGAGGCCGAGGTTTGAAATGCAGCCCCTTGTCTGACTTGTCAAACTCTCCAGAACCTGCCGGAACGGCCCTCGGGGCACCGAACACGGGTGCAGTGACCGTGGCAGTGGCTGTACACGGGCAGGAACCCGGTGAAGGTTCATAGGGCAGCACGTGAAAACCAGCCAAACAGGTGGTGGGGGTTCTGGCCCCGGGGCGGCGCCCGGGGAGCAGACTGGCCCAGACGCATCTGCCCCACCAGGCAGTCTTCTTTCCACTCGCGTGTCTTGCAGAGGGGGCCCCAGGAACCCGCTTCCCCAGCCACACCGCGTGTGAACCCCTGCACTTCCGAAGCCATGGGCTCCTGGCTGTTTAGCCAGGCTGTTCGATGAAACTGTGAATCGGAAGGAACGTTCCCACAAGGCCCAATCTGTCCCCAGTCTGTCGGCCTCGCCCCCAGGCTGCCTGAGTCAGCTGTTTGGGACTCACGAGGTCCTTCCCTTTCCCTTCCCTCAGGAAATGAGTCACAAAACTCTGTTGGTGCTTTTCACAAATGTGTGCCTCACAGCCGTCCCCACTGTCTCGGTACAGCCCGCCTCCACCCTGTGTTGTGTCGGAGCCTCTAGTCCCCTCTGTCACGCTGCCGTTGGGGCCGGCAGATGCCATCCGTGGTTCCACTTGTCAGAACCTGGCCGACAGGCAGCCGGACGTTTGGAGACGCGAGGCCCGGGCGTGGTTCGGAGTCTCCTGTGCCAGAGCCCTTTCCCGGTTCACACTGCAGCCTCCCCGGTCTGCCTGGGGAACCGGGACTCAGGCTCCCGGGTCCGAGCCACCCTGCCTGGTGTCCAGCTGTCCCAGCAGCAGTGGCCTCTTGGGCGTTTCCTTGTTACGGCAACTGTTCAACATGGAGTCTTCACATGGAGTCTCTGATATAAGCTATAAACCGTGTCAGGGCGTTGAGTCCGTGACTGCTTTGCCCCTCCGTGGGGGATAACAGTACGGACGACACAGAAGAATGAAAACTTGGAAAATTGCAACCGTCTGTGACTCAAACGTAGTGACGCATTTAGGCCGAATGTTTGTCACCATTTTTTACCGGGATTTACTCTGTCATCAATGAATTAATTACACCTCAATTTAAAGCATTCTCCCATTTTAACAAATACATGTATACTAATTATTAGCTGTGTCATGGATATTGCTAAATACTGGAGATGAGTTATGAGTAAAACTCACTCCTCTTTGGAGGGGCTCCCTAGAACATACACATCTCGAAAACGGCGAAATCGACCAAAGAACTAATTGTGTAGAAGTAAAGGTGTACATCAGCTTTGTTTAATGTGCTGGGCACAGTACCGGCATTTGACGTGTGTGACCTTGTTTAATCCCTAACCTGGCCATAGAACGCTGGTGCTCCTGCCCTGCTGCGGAAGCCAGGTTTCAGGTTCACGCAGCCGAAGTCAGAACGAGGTCGGCTCCTACGAGGTCACCAAGCCCACCCTGTGCATCGTGCCTGTGCCGTCATTTCCCTAGAATTACATCGCAAGCGTTGTCCCAGAACGAGGGACACATCTGGAAAGGCCCCCAGACTCGCCCTTGACCCCTCCTGTCGCCTCCCTGTGCCGGAGCAAGTGAACATTCGACAATCTCCACAAACACACGCGTTTGTGACAGCAGCGAACTGGGAACGTTTGCGAAGCAGGCTTATGGCTCCATCATCCATCTGCCTCGCTACGTAGGTGACGCTGTGGCAATTCTGTCACTGCACACAGAACACCAGCCAAGGCTGGCAGGCAACCGTGGGGAGCCGGTTTCTGGCATAAATCTCTGATTTTCTGGCAAAACCCCTCAGCAATGTAAAAGCTGTTATTGAGAGCATATTGAGATGCTGCATCATGTCAATATTTGTGTGGCTAAGGGACGCTGGGTTTGCTAAACTAATTCATAAACTCGCGGTGTAGGGCGACGGGCTGTGTTAGAAGTAAGCCGTGGTGTTTGCCATCAGCGCCACAGACATTCCGAGGTCTCGCGTGGAGATGCTGGCTCATCGGAGCTCCTGGGTCAGTCCTCCCGTGGGACTGGGCTCCTGCCTTCTCCTGGGGCGTCTGTTTTGTGGGAATGGGGCGCACGGGGCGATGAGTGGGTGCGTCGGGCAGAGGTCTCTGTCCTCAGACTGCGGCCGTGACCCACGTTGTGTGCAGGTTCTCTGTTTGGCCTCCACACATTTGTGGAGTTATTAAATCACCTTTAATGATATTTTTTAAATACTTTATTTATTTTTAGAGAGAGGGGAAGGGAAGGAGAAAGTGGGAGAGAAACACTAATGTGTGGTTGCCTCTCATGCGCCCCCTACTGGGGACCTGGTCCACAACCCAGGCATGTGCCCTGACTGGGAATCAAACCAGCAACCCTTTGTTTCCCAGGCCTGTGCTCAACCCACTGAGCTACACCGTCCAGGGCCAAGTCATTTGTGTTTGTGGTCTCGGTGTGTGGGAGGGAAATGCCTGGCACTTTGAGCCTCAACCTAAAGTCTTATCAAGGAACAGTCACTGTTCACATCTTTCTTACAAAAAAGATGGCACAAAAAAACCAAACGCACAGGGACAACTAATACTGAGCTTTTACCACGCACTTTAAGGTTTGTATTCTTACTTAATCCTCGTCATCGTCTATGGAGTCAGTAATGTGGAGTTTGGGCACACTTTAAGCTGGAACTTTGGAAGACTTTTGGAAACTTCCCCACGGTTACACAGCAAATGTGTCAGGAAGGTGTAAGTGAACCCCCCCTGTGAAGCCCCAGGTGCACACTTAGCTCACGGCGCAGGCTCCCTGAACAGGTCTGGCGCATTGGTCGAGACCCAGAAAGCCGGGACCGCCACTGGGCCACCTGCCTCTCTCCTGACCTGACGTCAGCTTCCCGAGTCGTCCTGAAGTCTCTAACCCGGCCGTCCGTGTGTCAGAAATCCACTGAGCACGGAGGGGGTGACATGAGAAGTCGCCTCTACAGTTACACCTGCATTTCTTCCCACTTGTCTGTTTGAAATGCATCCAGGTCCAGAGGTGGTTTGGACCTGTTCCCTGCCCTTCCGAGTTAGAGGTCATGAGGCCTGGGCAGCGGTTGCTGGTGACCGTCTCCAGCAGGCCTCGGCGGCTGCTCTCATCCCGTGTCCAAGTCCTGATGGGCCCTCCCTCCTGCTCTCCACTCACAAAAGTCTAGCTGGTGCCGAGTAATTCAAAGGGTGTCCGGCCAAGCGCAGCGGACCCACCCCCCCCACCCCCCGCACTGAGGCGAAGGTGAACGACCCCAGAGGCGGGTGAGATACAGGAAGCCAGGCAGAAAGATCAGGCCAGGAAGGACGGTGGTGACCGAGGAGGGGCCGTCACGGGTGGAACTGGGAGCCGGGGGTGGAGAGGGCGCTGCAGATCCCGACTGGGAGGCTGGTCAGCGTCGGGCATCTCACGGGCAATGGGAAGGTTCAGGCACAGGTACGGGCGTGTCCGTGGGTGTCGGGTGACCGGAGAGGGCGGGGCCGTGAGCTTGGCCTGGGTGAGGCTCCGCGGGTGCTCAGACATCAGAAATGTCTGATGCAACCGTCCCCATTGAGAGCAGGAGAGGGCCTGTCCCCGGCCTCCCAGTGGGAACATCAGGAAGCCCCTTCCGCGGGTGGACCACAGTCCAGTGCGGCGTCGTCTGGACACGGCGGGTGCCGGCGAGTAGTCACGCTTTGCAGAAACGTCCCTGGAAGGGAGCTATTAGCAGTAACTGTCCTCACGTCAGTTTCTCATTGAACTCGTTCTTGTATTAAATACTTGGGAACAGAGATTCATTGTATCAATAAAACGTTGTCACACGTAGAGTTAG